CGCCCCGCTTTGTCGGCCCCTGGCTCCTGTCCCCCACTCACTGCACAGGAAATTTCACCATTCCTCTCGAACACACAGAAGCCGTTGATGTCGCAGGGGTTGGAGGTGGGAATGCTGCAGGACTTCTGCGGGATGCAGCCCGACGTTTGATTCCCCACAAACCCTGACTTGCAGGGACCGCACTTGTAGGAGCCCTGGGAGAGAGAGGGCAGGGGCAGGATTAGGGGAGCAGAGTGACCCCGGACGCCAGGCAGGGGAGCGGGGCAGCTCTGCTCACCAGCGTGTTGGTACAGATGGAGTTGGGGTCGCAGCCCCCGTTGTTCCCATCGTTGCATTCGTCAATATCCGTGCAAACCTGCGAGCAGCGTGGGAGAAACGGTCACTCGGGGACTTTCCCTGCCTGCAGCTCTGCCCATTGCTGTGCCCTGTCCAGGAAAGCTGCCCTCCTTTGGCAGGCACAGCATCCTTCACCCATCCCCGCAGCTCAGCAGCCCAGAGTGCCCACGGGGACCCGGCCAAGTCTCGTGGCACCGCACTCACCTGCTTGCTGGCCCTTGCATAGTCAGCCCCCACGCCAGAGATGGTGTTGCCCCGATAACCGCGGGGACAGGGCTCGCAGCGGAAGCCGGGGGCCGTGTTGATGCACTTGGAGCCGGGGAAGCAGGGGTTGGCATGAGAGCACTGTGGCACGGGGAGAGAGAAAGGCTTCACCCTCGGGCATGGCATCCTGCACATCAGGGTGGCCACTGCCCCGGGGCGTCCTGGCGGGGCCCTTCCCCGGCTTGAGGATGCACCCGGAGAGGGGAAGCATCATCTGCCCAGGCTGCTCTGGCAGCGCTGGGGCTCAGGTGTCGCCTGCAGGCGTGTGCCCACCTCATCGATGTCGGCACAGTGTGTGCCGTTGCCCTCCAGCCCTGGTGGGCAGGGCCCGCAGCGGTACCCGGGGTACTCATACGTCTCCATGCAGTCCACGCCACTGAAGCAGGGGTTGGGGTTGCAGCGGGACCGGTGCTCGTGGAAGCCTGAGAAGAGGAGGGCCGGGCAGGGGGTGAGACGGGGTGGCCCTTTGCCCCCTGAGGTGGGAGTGGAGCCTCGCCAGCACTCACCGCAGACCTGGCACTCCATGATGGTGTTGCGGATCAAAGACATCTCCTTCACCTGGGAGGCAGCAGAGCACGGAGCGTCAGGGGGATGCAGTGTACTGGCTGGCACCCTGCTCTTGGGCAAACCCAACCCGGGCAGAGCCAATACTGCCCCACTGCCTCACCTGGTCCCTAATGTCTTCCCGCAGCTCGGTCAGGACCTGGTTGAAGAGGGTCGGCGGTTTGACCAGCCCCTTGGTCTGCTCACCTGCCAGGAGCAGAAAGGACAAGGTCAGCCCCAGGACAGAGGCAGCATCCTGCGGCAGTGAGGTGTGGACTGCTC